ATTAATTAATTAACCAAATAAATTAGTTTAATTAATTAATTTAACGGATAATCTTCCTTTCCACGTGGCGTGCTGTGATTGGAGACGAAAATATTTGCTCCCACATTAGCTATCTTGGTTGGAATTAAGAGTAGACATTGTATGCTTTAATTCGAATTGAATTATGAATAGGAAGAGTATGTATGGACATTCGACAACAGGGATTAGATACATGCTTGGTTGTTTAAAATGTTCTCCTATGATAATAGATTTCTAATGCTTGATTTAGGTTTGACAACAAAGGATCTGATTAGAGAATTAGGAATACAAGGTTTAGACCAGACACCATGGCTAAATTATACATTAGAGAGAATCAATCTTTTTACTTGAATTGAATTTGTTAATGTGATTGCTTAAGACTTAGAATTGGATTGTTCCTTAGTGTATTTCTTCTTTGTTTATTTAACTTTTTGTTTTCCATTCATGTACTCTTGTCACTCATCTTTAAACCTCGTTTCCATTTCTCTTTTGTGCATGGAATTGAATTGAATCAATCTATCAACAATCCTCATGGGATCGACCTCGCACTTACACATGCTATACTACCCAACGGCTCTTGCACTTGTTAGTATCACAAGTTGAGGATGAGCTGAATCAATTTTGGCAAAACTAAATCGACAACAACACATTGCCAGCCTTTGTCCAGGAGGAACACTTACATGAAACGCTATCCCCAGCCAATCACGTTATGCCATGCTTGATAACTTTTCCACAAGCAGTCTGTGGTTTATTGGGATAGCAAAATAGTAGTACTATCCCGTTTCATACAAGTTTTTATGCTTGTCAGCTAACTAATCATGTATTTTTTTTTCCCACTAGTTAGGAGGTGGGGCGGGGGGACGAGGTTTTACTCATACATGCTTAGGGATGGGTTTGAACCTCAGACATCTCAGGACAAACACACTTGGCATGTTAGAATTCCCATGGGCACTAGTCATGTATTTTCCACATACATTATCCTTTCTCACATATTCATTTGGTTGGCTTATCAAGGTAAAATCTTGTCCAATGAGCAAAGAACCAAGAGGAATCTAAATTCTGATCCTTCTTGTCATTTGTGTGGTTGGCAAACTGAATCCGTTATTCATATTCTTAGGGACTGTCCCAGGGCTAAGATGGTATGGAATTCTGTTGTTAATTTACATTCCTCTCCTCACTTCTTCCTATCTGAGCTAAAACCTTGGTTCCTAGGCAACTTGCTCTCTAAGGTTAATGGACCTGATGGTATTGGTTGGAATATTGTTTTTGCCATTACTTGTTGGTATATCTGGAATTGGCGTAACAAGCAGATTTTTAACATTGCAGTGGATTTTCCTTTTAATCCTAGGAAAACCATCTTTACTGCGGTTGTTGAGTGGGTTAAAGCCGCTATTGGCTCTGGCAAGAAACCTGATAGAGTACTTGTCTTTTTGGCTTGGGAACCTCCTACAATTGGTCAACTTAAGCTGAATGTGGATGGTTCTAGAAGGGCTGCCACTAATATTATTGGAGCAGGAGGTGTTATCCGTGACTCCTCAAGTGACTGGATTGCCGAGTTTGCTGTGAATTTGGGCCAAGGTCATATCTTGGAGGCTGAGGTTTGGGGCCTATATTTTGGGCTAAAACTTGCTGTTGAAAAAGGTGTCACTAACCTTGCTATTGAAATGGATGCTGCTGTTGCTGTCTCACTTGTTCAACAAATCAATTCATTGCAATGCCATCCTCTTGCTGCTTTGGTGCATAGTTGTTGTGATCTCATGCGACAAATTGGAACTTGTCACCTTGTCCACATTTACAGGGAAAAGAATTGTGTTGCCGATTGTTTGGCAAACTGGAGTTATAATCTGGATTTGGGAATTTGCTTCTTTGATGAGGCTCCTGTCTGGGTTAGCTATCTGTTGATGGATGACTTACTTGGTCTTGCTAGGCCTCGACTCATGTGCGGGGCTTAGTTGTTTTCTGGGGGTTTCCCTTATTTCACCAAAAAAGAAAGTGAAGTTCGAAAGATAAAGCAACCAATTGGAAATGGCGTCATGCCCAACATGTCAATAGTCTGCTATGATAATATGAAGGACGTTGAAGTTTCATGTTAAAATTAATTGGCTATGTAGGAGTACAAGGGCGGAACCAGAAATTTTTTAATGGGTGGGCTAGCTAAAGTTATTAGCTTAAAATATAATGATAAATTTTTTTTGTACTTACATTTTCTAAAAATTTTCTAGAAATAAAAGTATACATTAAATCATATAAATCACATAATTGTAAACACAAGGAAAAAAATTGAAATTAGAGCCATATTATTCGTGAGAGGGTGAATTTCATTTAGAAAAATGCTTTTCTTTTGGAGACAAATTAATAGAACAATTTTAAAATTGATGTTGGGATAAACTTTGACACCAAATACAAATGTGGAAGATCTCTTACTATGCATATTGGTGCTGAAATTGTATATTTATTTATTTATTTTCAGTTAAAATATATACTATATGTATATTTAATTTATTTTTTTCCCAAACTGTCCCTGGGCTACAGCCAAGGGCAGTCCTTGCCTTGGTTCCGCCAGTGTAGGAGTAGTCTAACTCCTTATAAACTTATGTTAAATATGTTTAACTTTTCATTGTGTGACATACTCTCAACAATCTAGATGCACCATCAAAGTGGAGACCCACCTAACTAAGTGTCAAAAAGGCACGAAATAGTGTATTTGAATATTATCGTTACAAATTTTCTGCAATTAGATTTAAAGTACCATCTAGTGAATGCAATCGTAGTCTTGTTTAACTCATTGTCGTAAATTGACCACAAAAAAAAAACTCATTGTCGTAAGTCTCGAATTGCTCAATAAAAGTCATGTGAATTGTGGGCTCGTAGGGGCTTTGCCATTTCAATTTGCTATGCTTCCTACCACTGTCTTATTTTATTGCGCCCTGTCATGCTTTTTGATTATTTTATTAAGTATGAGAATCAATTTGGTAGATAATTTTGCTCTAGTTTTTTTTTTTTCCTGCTCTAGCTTTGTTGTGTGACAATTTATTATCAAAATTGATGTGGCAATGTTCATGTCTAATTTCACTCTGATTATTTATTTGCATATAAATAACAAAATGACATTTGAGGGCATCGGAACCCAAGAATCTGACAACCGATTGAGAAAAAATTAAAAAAAGAGTTGACCAAATAAGTCAAACCAAATTCAAAAGATGGAATTGGACCAGTTTTGTTTGGTTCCAGTTTTGATTCTACACCATAAAAAAAAAAAATTCGATCGGAACCGAACCGACTATATTAATTTTTATTTTTAGTTTTAATACATCCCAATGCTAAATTTAATTTTTCATATGTCATGTAAAAGAGTTAAACTGATATTAAAACAAACAAATTGAACTTAAAAACTTGTATTTATGGGTTTAAAAGGATAAGATGAGATCAACGGTATAATTTAGTTATGTTCTTCATTTTTATTTTGGCTTGAGGAAATTGGGAGAGAAATTGCGTTGATCCATAAGATATCATAAGTGCCCAAGTTCCCCAAGCAAGCCATAAACTCTTTTAACTCCATGGCCAACCAAAAAAGGTCCAAGTGAATGTACCTGAATATTATTATTACATCTTATCTGCAATTAGATCTCTCCTACTCAAAGTTTTCACACCAGCCTACTCTCCTCACGCAAAATCTTAATTTTAGTTTTTTTATTCGGTCTATTATTTTGATGTCATAATTTTTATTTAGGTTATTGTATGAGATATTTCTTAGAATGAACAAGAATTCTTTGTAGAGATTTTGTAAACTTTCTGTTTTGGTTCACTACCAAAAAAAAAAAAAAAACTGGCAACAGTTACCATTATTTGGTGACATTTGGTGATTGTTGTGAGGGTTACTAAAGGCTTTAGTCATTAAAAAAAAGCAAAAAATGTGACTAAAAGCCTTTTTAGTTACCAAAAAAAGTCAAAAAATGTGACTAATGCCTTTTGTCACAGCCACAAATGTCACCAAATAATAGTGACAATTGCCACTTGGTATTTTAGCTGCATTGCATCCATATGGAAAGGGAGCATTTTTGCTCACCAACCCTCATCACCTATCTTTGTGTTTTTTGTTTTAAATGTTATTTTATTATTATAATTTTTACTTTATTTTTTTATTTGAAGTCATTTAAAAGAATTAAAAATAAAGTGTTAACTATAATTAGTTTCAAGGACAGGTGTCAATTGTTAAGATGGATGGTGAGTTAAGGTGGTGAGCAAAAATGCTCCCATATAGAATATACGTGTGATTTCTATACATTTCAAGAATTACAAATTAACATCCAAAAAAGAAATTAAGCAAAAATCAAAATTAGGCAAACCAAAATCAATCATAATCACAAAATAATAATAATAATAAATACACCGGCTGTATCCTAGCAGGTGAATTTAAAGGAGGTAAAGTCGTCGTGGAGAGTAGAAATATTCAACGGAGGACCCCATCGTCATTGGGGGAAAAGGAATTTTAAAATCGTCGTGGTTGTTCACTCTAATCTTTTCAGTGAGGGAGCATTTTTGCTCACCACTTTAACACTTAATGTGTACCCTCATCACCTATCTTTGTGTTTTTTTTTTTAAATGTTATTTTATTATAATTTTTACTTTATTTTTTTATTTGAAATCATTTAAAAGAATTAAAAATAAAGTGTTAACTATAGTTAGTTTCAAGGACAAGTGTCAATTGTCAAGATGGATGGTGAGAGTACATATTGAATTAAGGTGGTGAGCAAAAATGCTCCCATATATAATATACGTGTGATTTCTATACATTTCAAGAATTACAAATTAACATCCAATACGGGATACAGGATACGAACCTATTATAATTTATAAATAAGAGTATCCTTGCTTCATAGGTGGATATATATAAAGAAAAAAGCTAGAACAAGAGGAAATAGTACTGATCGCATGTAGACAAAGAAGAAACAAAAACCTTACTCAGCATTAATATATGTAGAAGAAGAAGAAAAGAAATACATAAATATAAGAGAAATAACATTCAGATTCAGAGAAAAGTTCGAGTGTATGAGTTCTAGTGGCCATAAATCTCCAAACCATACATCTCAGTTTTTGTTTTCTTCTTGGAAATTCCAGCCTGTTTATTCAGCAGCCCCTTCCCTTTTCATCTCATTCATATTTCCTTCTTGTTCGTACCTTTAGCTTCGCTGTATATATTATATATAGCAAAAACTAGAATAATAAGCCCACCAAGAAAAAATGATACGTTGGACATGGAGTAGTTGTTGCCAAATTTGCCAATCCCAACACGCTGGCCTTTGTTTGAATGGATTTTATTGCCCTCAACGCTGTAGTTTCGAGCCCTCCTTGCTTCAAGACCATCAATAGGACCTGCATGATAATTGTTGCCGAAGTCGAAAACGCCAACGTCTGTGCCTTCAGATAAGCTTATTTCATTCTTATGAATCTTCCAGGTCTCACTATTTTCCTTTTACGAAAGCTCTTGTTCATTTCTTTCTCCAGAATTTTCCTTGGGGCTCTTGTTCAGTTGTTCAGCTTCAGTTCGAGATCCATCTGATACATATGCAAAGATAAAAATGAAAAAGAATCTTCAAATAAGTAAAAATTGGGCAAATACTGCAAAATCTTTCAATAAATGCAAGTTACTATTGTAAAATAATCACATCAAGGATAAGATCTTGAATCAAATAAATTTACATACCTGCCATTGATGAAAATAAAGTTTTTATTCTCTGTGGAGTTCTTATGTTCAACTGGCAATACAGACTAGATGTTTTGAATGCGTGTTTGGAATAGAATATGGATCTCTTTAAAACCAGTAGAAAGGCACTGTTTAAGCCTTCGTCGATAAGTTTCAATAAAATAAATAAGTACTTTGTGTGGAGAAGGTTCGAGATTATGTCACCCTAGCAGAAAATATCGGACTATAATATGAAGACAGTTGTCCATTGACTAAGCAGCAAAGGGTAAACCTGAAGAACAGACAAAGACTAACATTCAAAATATACCGGTCCACTAGATGACGGTTTTCAGGGCATAAAGACGACAACGAAAACCCGTCGTCTATTGCGATTTTTTAAGCAGTAGGAGTCCATCAATGACCAGAATATGCTTTATAATATTAGAGACGGTGGTAGCCTATTGGCCCAAGAACAACAACTCATATCCGGATGGCCACTGTGCAACTGCTTCATATTAAACAAAAGAAACTTTATGACAAGAGTAAAATAAAATAGAGGTAGTTTAGAGGGTTTATCTATCGAGCCCTTGAGTTTAAAATGCTGGCTTCTTTTGTTTTTGTTTTTTGTTTTTATCTATCGAGCCCTTGAGGTTACTATACAGCAAAATGCTGGCTTCTTTAGATGTACGGCGTGTAGGGTTTTTTAGTCGTTGACAGCTATTGCGAACTGCAACTTTTGCTGTAGTAATAGTGAACATTATTATTTCCTAGTGTTTTAGGGAATCTTAGTGGTACTTAATATTGTGCAGGCATTCTACTTGCGTGTGTTTGGGTTTTCGTTAGGTTAGTGGTGGTCCTATTGTGCAGGCAAATACTACACCAATGAATTCAAGTTTGAAACAAGAGTTTTGTTCACACTTCACGTATTCAAATACCAGCGAGTGGTCTCTGTTGTTTGAACTGTGACATTGCTGTGTCTTGGCATTACGTACGTGTCCCTTTTTATCTTGGCATAACTCTTTTTGAATCTTAAAAACAAACAGTTTATGAAAGCTTAATTGTCCAAAATGAATCTCTGGATTTATGGCTTATCAACATCAGACCCTAAAACGAACTAATTTCAGTCTAACCCATGATTGTTTCTTCTCTCTTCCTCCAACTTCTCTAATAACAGTTTTATATAGTTGAAGGAGAATTATAAGCATAATCTTCATTTAATCACAGTGAAGTTTAAAAATTTACATGCCCACATTGCCGGTACTGCCGACATCGACTCTCACTATGGTAGGATGGAGGACAAGACTTGGCGAGTCCTTAGTTAGGACTTTGGTTCCTTACTTAATTAGGATTTTGGTTACTTACCAGTTTATTTAGTCCTATTGTAATTAAGGTTTATTTACCCTAAACCTCTCCTCCCCTCCTCTTCAAAAGAGGAAGGGAGAGTGAAAAGGATATGTTTCTCTAGGGCTGATTTTCGAACAGATCAGATCGGAATAAGAGGATTCCAATCCCATTCCAAAAAAAAATCGGAATGAAAATTCTTTTCCAATTATGTTCCAAAAATTTCAGAATTTCAACATCCATTCAAATTTGGAAAATCATTGAAAGTTTTAAACATATCTAATGATTTCAACGGTTAAAGTTGGCTCAAAATTGAAAAATTATATGAAAAAGCTCAAAAAACTATTATATGATATAATTAATTATATGTCGTTATCCTTTATGAAATAGCTCGTCCGTCTATGTATATTTTGATCATTAAGTTATATCAAATTCAACATGAAACTAGTCATTATGTACAAGCTTGAACCCCAAATATATTACAGAATTCAGAATGTGTATGGCAAGTACACAAGAAGAAAAAGAAATAATACTTACTCAGCATGTATCAATATACTTATGGCATGTAGAAGAAGAAGAAATACATAAATATATATATAAGAGAAATAAGATTCAGATTCAGAGAAAGTAACTCAAAGAAAAGTTTGAGTATAGGAGCTATGGTGGCCATACATCTCCAAACCCTTCCGCTACGTAATAGTACAGGAAAATCCATGCCGAACCATTCTTTCTCACTTATTGATTTTTGTCTTCTTCTTTTTCTTCTCGGTCATGCCTTCTTTTTCACTCAAGCCACTTGCTTCATTTTTTGTTTTGCTTACTCACCGTTAATATATAAAAAGAGAAAAAAAATAAAGCTAGAACAAGAAGAATAAGAAGACCAAGAAGAAATGGTACGCTCGACTTGTTGTAGTTCGTGTTGCCAACGTTGCTAATCCCAACGCTATCGCTGTCTTCTCCACGAATTTTATTGCCAGAAATGTTGAGGTTTCTAGCCGTCCTTGCCTGATCACCACCTCTGCCTTCTTTGTTGAAAGCCTTGCGAATCCCAACCTTTTTGCTTCTAATTGCGGAGATATCATTATTATTAATGTTGAAAGTCTCGTTGCTTCTTTTTCCAACTTCATATCGAGATCGAGACCCATCTTATGTATATGCAAAGATAAAAATGGAAAGATCTTCAAATATGTGGAGGCAAATACTCAAAAATCAGTTGGAAGACAATCTTTCAATAACTGGAAGTTACGATTGTAAACTAATTACATAAATTCCTTAAACCCAATACACACATAGAATCACATCAAGAAAAAAGATCTTGAATCAAATAAAAATATTAATCATAATAGTACATACCTGCCATTGATGAAAGCTCAAAAGAAAGTCTTCTACTCTCTGTAGAGTTCTTATGTTCAACTAGCAATAGGGACTAGATGTTTTGAACGTGTGTTTCCATGAGAGCATGGACCACGTCTTGAAAATGGAATAAGTTACTATTATATATGTGGATTTATTTATTACTCTTTGTTATATTCTGCAGTATTCCTAATGATCAACTTGGAAAAGTCTTCCCAGTAAAAAAAAAAAAGACTTGGAAAAGTCTTGTAAAAAAGGACTTTGTGCGGAGAAAGGCTCAAGATTTCAATTTTTTTTTTCAAAACTTGACTGTGTGAGTATATTTAATAAAAATAAAATAAAAGAAATACAAACTAACAATCCAAAAAGAAATTAAGCAAAATCAAAATTAGGCAACCAAATCACACAAAAAATGATAAATACACGATGGATAGTGTAGTCAAAAAGGTACTCCGTGTGGAAAAAAGATCGTTGAACTTTTGTTTTGATCACACGCAGGACAGTAGAGAACCACTCTT